CGCTGCTTCTCCGTGCACAAACATGGACTCAGACATTACGTTTTAAATCAGTTGCTATAAATTAGAACACGAGCCACCGCGATTCCTTTAACGTCACCGTTAAAAAACGTTTTTATTAGATTAGTAGTTGTTTTTATTCATGCTTATTAAACATTCACACTATTGTGATCCTGTTTATATTTATTATTCCGAGTTTCTGTACTCTTTTCGGAAACTTTCTCGTTCTTAAAGTTTTTGCTAATGCAAAACAAACTTAAAAACAAATGAAACTTACAGGAAGTAAACCTCACAATCTCCAGTTCGTATTAATATATTCGAGGTTAAACAAACGGAGGGAAAAGTCCTTTTTTTTTTTTTTCCGAGCGGGTCCGGTAACGACACGCTGCAGAGGCTCAGGAGAACACGGAAACAACACGAGTGGGAGGGGAAACAAGGTTGTTGAGTTTGGGATTGCCACTTGTAAGTACAGACGGAGTTACACGAGAGTGGACGTGTTTGCCCAGCCGAGGGTAAACGGAGCCGCTCGGAGCAGGGCGTGCCCCCGCCGGCCACAGTCCAAACCCTAAATGTGCATCTGCGCTCCTAAAACCGGACTTTCTTCCACACCGTCCAGTCTCCGACTCGTGTAAAGCCGCCGGCCCGAAGCATCGTCTTTAAACGGTCTGCGTCGGTCACGTTAAGACAAAAGAAGCTTCTTAAAGTAGAAGCCGGCTTCAGCGCAGTCGGCGTTGCTGTACGTTCTCCCAGAGGAATCTTTTTGTCCTCGTTTAGCTTCTGCTCTCTCCCGTTCAGATGTCCGGGAGCACCGTTTTTTTTTTTTTCTTCTGCACACATCAGCCGAAGGTGCAGGGTTGTCCCGATGACTTCACTCGTCTGGGCTGCGGAGCCACGCGGCCTTCCTGCTTCGTTTTGGCTGATTTCCTCTCTGACACGCAGACAGAACCAGACTCTTCCCCTCCGTTTTGCTGGACGGCATCTCTGCTCTGAGAAACCACTCTTTTTTTTTTTTTTTGGGGGGGGGGGGGTGGGGGTTGAATCAGACATGCAGATCCTCTAGAAACTGTCTCAGGCCTGTAGTTTAGTCTTTGTCGCTCAGCTCTTTATAGGGGAGTGGTAGCAACGATGATGGAGATGGCAAGCCTGAAATCGGAAGGTCGCCGGTTCAACTCCCCACACTGACATCGAAATGTAGGTTTGAAAGGTGAAGCACTGCCTCCACCCTCATTTTCCCCACTTTGGACCCTTGAGCAAAGCCTTTAACCCCCACCATCAGCCCCCCCGGGTGATAGATGGAAGCGCTCTGCTCCACACAGAGCAGACGGTAGCTCGGTGGTCTGTGGTTGCGTCAGGAATGGCGTCCGGCGGAAAATCAAATCACCAAGTCTTCGTTCGAGTTTTAGGACCGGGCAGGAAAATTGGATTATTGATCGCCCCCTAGCTATGCTATGGTCGCAATGTATTCATATTGTTGAGACTCGAATCGGTCCTTCACCGACTGACTAGCTTAAATCACCAGCCGACACGTTAGCCGGTAAATTTCTTGTTTTTTAACGAACAGCTCCAGCTAAAATATTACCCGGCTGGCACCCGTAGTTGTAGTTTAGATTTGAGCAGGAGTGTCCAAAGAGCGGCTCATGACCCGTTTGTGGCCCCTGGAGGGATTTATGTGCGGCCTATAAATACAACTTAAAAATAGTCGTTTCGGATGAGGATTTTTCTCATTTTAGGCATAAACTTTTATTATTTTCAGGTTTAACGGGAAATTGGAAGAAAATAAACTTTTTAAATTGCCCCATTTGAAACACCAGTGTTTCCCCTACCGTTCTACAAACAGTGCACCCCGCCCTGTCAACAGAACCGAGCGCGTTGCCTACCGACCCCCCCACCCCACCCCGTGTCGACAACTGCAGGCACTGTTGTAGTGCTAAGCTAGCAGCAAGCAATCCAGGCACGCTAGCTACAAAGCTAGAGGTAGCGCTCCGATTCCCTCATGCGGAGCCGTCAGCCCCCCGCTCAAAAGCTTTTGGTACAAGCAACGTGCAACATAGACGTGTCTCTAGGCCTGTCACGATAACAAATGTTGCTGAGCGAGTAATTGTCTCAGAAATTATTACAATAATGTTTGAAATTTGACAATAATTAGTAATTCTTGACAAATTTAAGAAGAAATGTTTACATTTTTTGAGTGTAGTACCATTTTTTTGAGTGTAGTACCATTTTTGACCACCAGATGGCAGTGTAAGACTGTTTGAACTGAAGGATGGATAGTGAGGGAGCGAGCAGCGTGTCTCTTTTAAAGAAAAATGGGAGGGAGTTCCCTTGACGTGACATGGGCTGGCTCTTGTCCCCGTTTTTGTTTCTCAAAATGGCGGACGAACGCTCGTTGTGGTTTGAGCTCTTTAGCATTTTTTCACACAAAGCTTTTAATTTAAAAAAATCAGTAAACAAGTTCTCCGCTTCTTTTTGCAGAGAAAAACAACTTTTTACACGAAGGCACGAGTTTCAACCGTGAATTTTGGAGCTTCGACAAGACGGAGGTTTTTTCCCCCTCGAGGTCGGCCGTTAGCTTAGCTCGTAGCTTAGCTTCTCAGCTGAGCTACTTTTAACGATCATTTTGGACGGTTAAAACAGATTTTAAAGAGAAAGGGCGGGGTCAGTGAAGAGCACCGGAGTTGAGCCTTTCGTCATCCAGTGTCTTCAGTAGAAAGAGAGAGACACAAAGGACCGATAAAGTCGATAAATGAAAATGAGGTCGATAATTTTCATTTATCCTGCCATTAAGTGATTTGTTTATCGCGACAGGCCTGCGTGTCTCGCGCCTCCTCTTTTCTTCCCCCGGCGTCACAAATCACGGAGGACATGAGCGCCCTGCCAAGGCAACTAATGTAGGGGAAACACTGCTGTAAAGTTTTTTTGTTTGTTCAAATACCCGTGCTTGTTACTTTTATTCCAATTCCAGTTATAAAATACAACAAACCTTTACCGATTTTACCAAAAAGAACATTTAGGTAACCATTAACAAAACTCTGCTAAATATAGCAAATATTGAACAGTCCCACTAATTTCGTCATCAATAGAAATTAAACTGGACTTTAAGGGAATATAAAGTGGGCATATTTTACACCCATTTAGATCAAGTATTTACATTCTTGTTAATATACTTTTGTAAAAATTCTCATTTGTCGTCCACCAGTTCTTTCAACTTGTTGGTTCTTGTTTGCGCGACAAATAGTTTAGACGCCGCTGTTTTAGAAGACCAAGTTTACAGTTTACAGTATTTACTGTCTTCAGGTATTTGTTCTGCGTGAGTCAAATCAGAGGAATTACCATGGCCGTTGAACTTAAAGCCTCCTCTTGAATAACTCGACAAATAATTCATTGGCAAATAAGCACAGTTCAACAATTTCTGCAGACATGTGGAAGCAAAATCTAAAAAAAATGTCCTCCACATCTGCAAATGTCACAGAATATTCATAATTCAATAGAAAAGTGTGACTCCGAACTGGTAGAGCTGTTGCCTCTCGGTGAGAAGGTCGCCGGATCAAATCCCGGCCGGGGGCCTTTATGGGTGGAGTTTGCATGTTCTCTCCGTGCATGCATGTTTTTTTTCTCTCGGGTACAGTAATCCTTTGATACTTCGTGGTTCGACTTCCGCGGACTCAATCTTTTGCGGGTTTTCTATATAAGATTGTACACGGCACATGATTAGCGAAGGGGAAAGACAGACCCACCCCCTCCTTTCTCTTTCTGAGGCTGTCGCAGCAGAAACGATGGGGAAAAACAGACCTCATCCCGCCCCCTCCTTTCTCTTTCCGAG